GATTCTGTTCGTGTTGTGTTATATTACAATGGTAGGAAGGTAGAAGGTCGACGAGGTGTCATATTCGAAGGTGAAAAAAGGCCAACACGTATCCAACGCAACACAACCATTGGCGAATTGCATCAGAGAATTCGGCAGAAGTTAAGTCTTCAAGACAACCAATGTATCACTGAGATCACGACAAGGGTGTGGCAAGGTGATAAATACATTAGTTTGAAAGTGCTTGACGATGAAGACTTGGAGATGACAATGGAAGAATTTTGCAACCAGTCAAGGACAGATTTTCTAGAGTTGTATGTCGACATCGTTGCAACGGAGAATGCTCCCATACCGGTGAGGTCAGTTTATTTAAATTCTCCCCGTCTTCCAGCTTCTCCTGCCGCTCATGCGTCTCCAGTTGGTATCTTTTCTGAGGGAGATGAAAATGATCCGACTTGGGAAATGCACGACGAAGATGACGATGATGACGATGAAAATATGGCAATGGAAGAACATCTTCTGGCGGAGGATGCTAGTGCTTCAGAAGGAGATGAATCTCGTGAGATGGGTGCGTCTGAAATTCCAATATTCCATCAACCAGTCGTCGCGCAAATGCCGCAGTTGAATGACGTTGCGTCTGCTCCGTTTGGTATTCCACAAGAAGGTAATTGTTCCCATTTGTATACTGCGTGAATAAATAACTGATTTAATGTTGCCTGAATTAGTAGTAAGTTCGTATTAAAAAATTATAACCCGCAATTGCAGGTGACACAGATGTTATTCCTTTTTGGGAAGGAATTCCGCATTATTCTTACATTGATTGGAGTTATCAGAGCGAACAAGAATCATGTACTGATGGTTCGGTGTCTGGATCGGCTTCAATACAAGGTCCGTGGCAACTGGGTGACATGTTATTTGTCAATCAAGAATTTGCGACAAAAAAAGATGTCCAAATGGCACTTAAGCACAACCTTATTAGGGAGCATCAAGAAGCCATTGTAATTGAGAGCACGCCTGCAAAGTTGTCCATGAAATGTTGTGCGTACGATCAAGGTTGTCCGTGGCGCGTAAGGGCGATCAAACCGGTGTTTCGTGAAAATTGGAAAATAACGAGATGGGGTGGAAAACACGAATGTGTGAATGAGCACATTTCCCAGGGTCATAGACAGCTTGATGCGGACGTTATTGCAGATCTCGTGATAGGTACCTTTTTGTATTTTAAATGTGTGATTGACCACAAATGTGTAATTAAATTCGTTCGATGTTATCGAGGCACTGATATCCTCTTCAATGCAGGGATGATAAAGTCTGAACCATCTGTGTCAATCTCTTTGGTGCAAGAAAGGATAACTGCTAAATATGGCTTTCAAGTTTCGTACAGAAAGGCGTGGTATGCGAAGCAGAAAGCGATGGCAATTCTGTACGGTGATTGGGAGGAATCGTATGCTTTTTTACCAAGGTGGTGCGAATACATGCTTCGCTTTTCTCCAGGTTCATTTTATCATATACAAACTAATGATCTTTATGCCGAGCAGAGCTTAGTTTCTGGAAAAAAGGTTTTTCATCGCATTTTTTGGACGTTTAGACAGTGTTGTGAGGCGTTCAAATTTGCCAAACCCGTCATCCAAATTGATGGAACACATTTATATGGAAAGTACAAAGGGAAATTGTTGGTGGCCACAACCCAAGATGGTAATAATGAATGTTTACCGATCGCATTTGCCATCGTAGAAGGCGAAACTTTGGAAGCATGGGATTATTTTCTCGTTAATATTCGTGCTCATGTGACTACGATGTCAAACATATGTTTAATATCCGATCGGCATCGAAGCATAATATCTGCTGTGGAAAATAACCCTACTTGGCAGCCGCCAAATGCGTATCACGTATTCTGTATTCGTCATATTGCAAGCAACTTCAATCAAAAGTTTCGAAATGAAGATTTGAAGCGGATGTTAAAGAATTTAGGTATACTCATTGACTGAATGCTTAATTATTTCTTTCCATTATGACTGTCAATTTATGTTTAATTCGTTTATGTCCAATTTGTGCAGGTTATACTCCAGCAATGGTTGATTTTGAAAGGAATCTTGCGAGTTTCCGTGAAAGTAGTCCTCAAATTGCTGAGTGGATAGATGCGATTCCTAAGGAAAAGTGGTCGCGTGCCTACGATATTGAAGGACGGAGGTACGGTCATATGACAACAAATTTGGCTGAATCTGTCAATAGGGTTTTGAAGGGGGCCAGAAATATGCCTATAACAGCATTGGTTAAGCATACATATAGCAGATTGGTTGCATATTTTGTTGAGAGAGGAACAAATGCTCTTGCACAACTTCAATCAGCTCATCGTCACTCCAAACATGTTGTTGAATTGGTCAAGAAGAACCAGGTAGATGCAACAGGCCACCACGTTCGTGCATACAATGTTGAACATACTGTATTCGAGGTTGACGCAGGTTGGGAACGTTCATATTCTGTCAACCTCCCACAGAGATACTGTCAGTGTGGAAAGTTTAAGGCCTTTAACTATCCATGTAGTCACGCTGTTGCTGCTGCGTTAAGTGTTAGGCAGAGTGCGTTCACTTACGTTGACGACGTCTTCTTGATAAATAACTTGGTCGAGGCTTATTCTTTTCCGTGGGAGCCAATCGGAAACGAGGAAGCAATACCTGAAATTAGTGGTGCAAAGATTATTCCTGATTGTACTATGTTGCGTGCAAAAGGTCGTCCAAAGTCAACTCGCATCCGCAACGAGATGGATGAAGTTGAGACAAGCCAGAGCCGTATCAGGTGTGGACTTTGCAAGGAACGCGGCCATAATCGTCGGCGATGTCCAAGTCGTGGGAGAAACGAATGATTTGCATATTATGTTCATATTGTTGCTGTTGGTTATGTTATTGCATGAATTGTAATGTCCGTTATGTTGGACTTTTTACTTTCCGTTTATGTATGTTTTTAAGCTTGAATTATTAATTAGCTGATGCTGTTAGTTACCGTAATATAAATCCGCAAAGAACGATAACCAAAACATAGTGAATAGTCCAAATAATATAATAATGTAGCGTCCACAATATAACAACATGCTACACTCATATGACATATACAAAAGAACAAAATAATAACAATATGAAACAGTCCACAACATAATGAATAAACAAAATGTCAATGAAACTAGGACCAAGGTGGCCATGGCCTATGTCGTGCATCCCTATCTGGTAGTATACGTCTGTCCCAGACTGGGTCACCCTGATGGTCCTGTGGAGGTGGAGTGTGGAAGTCATCCATCGCCGCACGGATGAAATCATCTGATGGTCCTGCACTGCTGCCCGGCACATCAAAAAGGGTGTGTCCCTGATGTGAGTTGTAATTTGAAACAGCATTTCAAGACCATCAATCTGCATATTACGAAAAAATGTTAGTTGTAATTTGAAACAAATGTAAAATAAGTACAAAACTCACCATGCGCCCTATCTTTGCTGCCCTCCGTGATATGTAGCGCTTTCCTCTCTCTCTGAACCACTCCATGTACTCATGATTAGGTGACATCAAACCATATAATGGAGGTGGCAGTACAATATGCTGAATCCTAGTATTCCATCGATCAATGTGAGCCCTGAGCTTACGTCTCCAGTTCTCTTCAACCTTCCCCCGTAGAGTATGATCATGTATTCCTCTCAATTTTCTAGATTTTTCCGGGATGGGTTGATTAAGACCAAACTGTCGCAGGCACCTATCCGGTTGACATGCCTCAACTGTGTGGAAGTAGATAATAGGTGTGGGAGCTAGCCACATATACTGCTGCTCTGGAGTCACGTCAAGCCACTCATATTCTATATACGGCTGCCACACCACCTACAAACAAAATGTGAAACAATATATAGAGTTACAAAAAAAAATTAAACCCATAGACAAATAACAACACCGTAAGTATCTAACACCAAACCTCATCTCTACAGAATGTGTCCAATGTTGCCCGATAATGGGTGACCTCATGAGGTTTAAACTTTTGTACAGCATTAAACCTGTCAATCAAAAATGTTATCAACCATACATAATCGTCCAAAGTCAAGAAGTATACAGTTAGTACATACAGTATTAACCATACATTATCGAAATCAAATAAAGTAAATAAATCATACCGGCATCCATAATGTGTGCCCGGCTGTGGATGAGGAGGAAGGGGTGGAGCAATGAGTGGGAATCGTATCCATGCCCAAATTTGAAGGAGAATATGGCAACCACCCATGTCGCTTCGACGGGCATCTGTCACTTCACACAAATTCCTGAACAAGTGTGTCAAAACTGCAGATCCCCAGCCGAATCGGCCAATGTCCTCAAATCCTCCACCTAGCAACGGGACAAGCCGACAACCAAAATTGCTACCTCCAGACTTGTCCGCCAGCAACCAAGTCCCCAACATCCGCGCAATGTGAGCTTTTGTGAAGTAGATCTCGGCAGCATGATTCCCTTCATGATCAGTCCACCGGGTATAATGTCGATCCAAGAATGAGATGCGGAGGTCGCCAGAATGATGGAACTCACCGGCCTTTGGAACATGTCCAAAAACACCAGCACAAGCAGCGTGCCAATCCTCAGAGGTCGATCCGATGACGACAATACCGTCGATCGGCAAGCCCAAGATGCCTGCCACATCTTGTAAGGTGATCGTCATCTCACCTTGGGTCATGTGAAAGGTATGTGTCTCTGGTCTCCACCTCTCGACCAGAGCACTAATTAAAAATGTATCTATCTGTGATAAATTACGCAGTTATCACGTGTTAACGAATTACATTATTTAATTACATAAATACAAAACGACATAAATAACATACCTGGATATGTTGCATCCTGGCAACATGTATGAAACCCGCCTGTCTGAGGTACTCTTCCACAACCTGTGGAATAACACCGGTAGGTGGGCCCCCTTGTGGCTTCCCACGCCTCGTCTTAATCTTTCTTACATGCTCAGTATTCCACACACGCTGTGAAATATGACCTTTCTGCGTCCTCTGATGAAGGACCTCCCACCTGTAGGGTCCAAGTATGATCCACATGCTGAGATCGGTGGGCTCTACATCCGAATCAGATCCCGAAGAAGATGATGACTCAGCCATTATCCTTAACTAACTACAAAGTTATGCACTCCCGCATTAATAACATCATACATACGAAATTTACAAAGTCTCTAACACTATTTATAAATCACTAATTAATATGCTAAACCCTAATACATAATTAAAAATCAGTAATAATAATATTACTATATCATTACAACATTCATAGCATGACACAAAATTTCTAAGTGACTATCCTAATGTTCCAAGTCTCTAATATACAATCAATCCTAACATGTATTACTAACTAGCACTGTAATTTAAATGTATACATATGAGGTATTATGACCTTACCTACGTGGGCAGAGCTTCGCTACAAACCGCGGTTAGAGAGAGGTTGGAGAGAGGTAAATGAGTAAGGAGTGAAAAAAGAAAAGTGGGGTATATATAGGTTGCACATGAGACGCCCCACTGAGGTGTCTTCTCTAGGAGAGAGACGCCTCACTGGGGCGTCACATGTGACGCCCAAAGAGGGTGTCTCATTGTGCAACAGATGTGTAATTTTTAACAAAACAGCATTAAATGCGTAATTATTTTAATTAATTACATTATTTTAATTTTTTTGCCGCTTGTCAGGCTAAGGATATTTGAATTACCTTGTGCGCTGGTTATGGTCCAAATTCGGGTCATGACAATTAAATTAGTAAATAATTTTGAAATTGAATTAGATTGATAATTAGTTTTTAAAATTATACTGTTTTTGAAAATCAGCCGGCAACATTATCGAAAGAGATTGGATTTACAATAAAAAAAGAAGAAGTGAAGATACATTAAAAAAAGTGTGGCCATTGTTGTTTTCCTTGGCTACTGCCTGTATTTCTTTGTTTTGGCTTATTACCAACTATATTACATATTTACCATATATGCTTGCTGAAAAAATAATTATCATATTTCACCGCAACTAACTATAATGTGTTTAAAATTCTAACTGCTAGTTACATAATTCCACAATGATAAGGAAAAAAAAACTAATTCACTATCTAGGTTTAAGTAGTGAGACAGTTACTTCGTTGACGGAAGAAGAATGTTCTCCTTCAATTGAGACCTTTCTAATTAAGAAAGCAGGTTCCTTCGGTTGAGGTAAAGCATTTTCACCGCTCAACATCATAACCACAGATGTCATGTTTGGCCTATCGTCAGGGTGATGTTGCAGACATAAAAGGCCAATTTGAATGCAGCGTAAAGCTTCAGATATAATACACGAATCCCCCAAACACTTATCAATCAATTGCTCTGGAAAGCCCTCTTTCCATAATCTCCATGCCTACAACATTTCAATACAATTGTTATCTACTGCTTTATTAAAAGAAAATTATTATTATTATTTTTTGAGTGTTACTCACAAGCCCAATAAGATTATAATCGTTGTCCTGGAAGGCAAGTGCTCTGTTTTTCTTTCCGCTTAAAATTTCTAGCACTAACACGCCAAAGCTGAATACATCCGATTTTATAGAGAAAAATCCATCAATGGCATATTCAGGTGCCATATAACCGCTGAAAGGAACCATAAATGAATTAATTTGAATTTCAATTAATCATGTAAAAAATTTAACAACTTTTATGGTGCTTACAATGTCCCCGCTATTCTTCTTGTATTCCCTTCAATTTGATCACCACCAAACAATCTTGCCATGCCGAAATCTGAAATTTTTGGATTCATATCATTGTCTAATAAAATATTACTCGCTTTTAGATCTCTGTGTATGATCCTTAATCTAGAATCTTGATGTAGATAAAGAAGCCCTCTAGCAATTGCATTCAAGATGTTGAAGCGCTTAGACCAATCTAAAAGTTTACTTTGATCTGAATCTGTCAACACCGTCCAATTTGATTAGTGTTTTGTTTAAAAAATGACCTGTAAAACAAATCATGCTTTTATTACACTGAATATCAAGCTATGCAGAATATACTGACCAAAAAGAAATGAATCGAGGCTTTTATTGGGCATGTATTCATAGAGAAGCATTTTCTCCTCTCCTTCAACGCAACAACCAAGAACCTTAACAAGATTTCGGTGCTGAAGTTTTGCACACAATATAACTTCATTCATAAATTCTGTCAATCCTTGTCCAGAACACCTTGAAAGTCTTTTGACTGCAATATCTTGTCCATCTAGCAATGTACCCTACATTTTATAATAGGTAAAAAAATTGTCAGATAAGTATTTAATGAGTTTACTTTAGCCTCATTAATAGGCATGTTGCAAATCTACCTTATATACAGGTCCAAAACCACCTTCCCCGAGTTTGGACTCAGTTGAGAAGTTATTGGTTGCATTAACTATTGTAGCTAGATCAAATAATGGAAGCTCGAAATCTTCTTGTCCACATTTATCATTATCTTCTGTCGGCATGATTTTGTCCGTTTCCTCTTTGATAGAAAGAAAAAATAGAAAAATAGAAAAATAGAAACATTGATTGAAATGTTATAATTTTATGGGATTTATTAATCTCATGCAATAGGAAAAAACTCTCTCATGCAATAGAGATAATCATGTGTGAGACTCACCCACTATAAAAAAGAATAAAAAAGTAACACAAAAATCGATGTACGTGTAGAACATAAAGTATATTTTCCCTAATTTTATACATCTCCACTCAAAACTAATCCACTAATAAGCAATCTTGAATGAAAACAGCGCAGATTTCTGTACTTTAATAAAATTGAACCTAAAATTTACCTGTATTCTTTGTGTTGGTGATGTAAATATAGGAGAATGCCAATAGCATCACAAGGACAAATGAAAAAGTGATTGTAACCCCCAAGACTACCTTTCTCTGACGCCCATGTTTATTCTCTGCATTTCCAACTTGACAAAGAAATGAAGAACTTGTCATTCTAAAATAAAAGCAATGGTCCTCTAATGAATATAAAAGAAAGTTAGATGAAAACCATACCTTCACCCATATCTGAAACGGCCATTCGAACATATAGATCTTGCCCACCTTCTGAAACTCTCAAATCAATAAGATCACCGAACCAGATCGAACAACCAATACCTGCTCCACTTGTGTCTATGCTCGCATAAGCTGTGCAGGAACAATTTTCCAAGCATTTGGCCTTGCAATCTTCGAGTACCATACTTTTATTGACCCAAGAATTTGGAATGTCTGGCAATTTCATTCTACTTAATCTCCGAAACCCATCTTTATTTTTGACACCGCATCTCCACGAATTGCGCCGCACACATCCTACTGTCCAGTCCATTGCATTCCATTGTTCGCGTGATTTTGGATCGAATCCTTCTAAGCATTGGCAAATTGGAGTTTCAGCAGTGATGCAATTCCCATTTGGGCCACAAGTATTATAAATATCACAACTGTCTTGTGGCAAGGATTGGTAAACTTTCCATGTTCCGGTCTCAGGAAGCAATATGAGGCGTTGACGAAGATTAAGAGTTTGGTTCAAAACAATTATGGAAATCACAGAACTATTCTTGAGTGTGTATGAGTAATAAACTTCATCTTCATTGACAACATATATGTTATTGTAAAATGGATTTTCCTTTAATCCGAATACTCCTAATGGGCCATTCACAGGGCCAGTTCTGTAGTACTCTGCCGAACCCTTCCATATTACCATTCCAGGATTGCTACCAAGCACCATTCCAGCAGTGAAGTTTCCTGAAGATGGATCGTCCCAATTTTTCCAAGCTGTAAGACGCCGATCAAGACCAGTTTTTAGGTCCCATCCAATCTTCATTCCTGGCAATACTGTATCACAAGGATGATCAAAGCTCTGCCACAGAAAACTTGTTTCATTGTTGTTGTCCTTCTCATCTCGAAGTACTAAATTTCCAGTGTCTAAGAGCTGCACTCTTGGACTTGAAGCCTCTGTTGAGGAGTTTGTTGACCAAAGAAGAGTTTGATTCTGGCTGAGAAGCACAAGGTTTCCTTCTTTGCTTACGATCAGCTTGCTGGAGTCGTCTTTGATAGGGTTGTCACGGTTGGCAACCCAAACAACTGTTCTAACTTGGACATTTTTGTACCAAATTCCAACATAGCGGTTTGAGGAACTACCAGGATTGAAGAAACCCAACTCAAAGGTTCCATCCTTAGAAACCAAGGTGCTGCCATCATCAGGAAGTGACTTAAACTGGGTAATGGTGTCAAACGCATAGGAAATATGAAAGAAGAAAAATAGTAGCTTGGAAATAACAAGCATAGCAGGAAGAATGACCATTTTGCGTTAACTACTGCATAATTCATTGAACGGCAGAAGTTGAAGATATACATGGTGATTTGGTAAGGTGTTGTTATGAAATAAATGTGAAGGGCATAGTTCTTTGGCGGCTCTGACTTGGCCTTTTTAGGGTTGCGTCACTGGACAAGTAACTGCTGTTCTTTAATATATTTCTAGATCATTCCGGGGTCAACAGCCCAATTAATCAGGAAATATAGAACGCACTACAGTATCTATTACTTTAGTCTGTGTCAGTTTGGTAAATCGGAAAAGGTTTGAATAATTTTAATTTCTTTTAACATCCTAATTATTTTGTTTAAGAGTCGATTTCTAAGTATTTCTCTAAATTTTAATTCTTTGAACTAGTTATGTGATTAAATTCTAGAGAATTAAGCATGATTAAGGGAATTAGACACACTTAAAGCTCTTTGTCCATTTTCAAAAATATATTTGGCAAAAATTAAAATCAAATTCTCTTCTCACCTACTCATTTTATGTTATCAAATGAACAGCTATTGGGTGATAATTTTATAATTTGTTGTATGTAGGGAGGTATGTTATTATAATTATAGTTTTTATTTTTTCAATCAATCATTATAATTTCATAATTTTTTAAATACACTCCATAATTTTAAAGAACCTGTCACAACCCGAATCTGAACAATGACCGGCGCAAAGGCTAAAGTAATCCAAACCTGTTTTGTAGATGATGATGATGATGATATTTCCCAAATATTAGGTTCCTCTTCTTCACGGGGATCTAATGGTCATAAAACTTTGTAGATGGTCTAATGATGATGGTGTACTTTTGATGTTTAGTTTTTGATATTGTACTCTTTGTTGTTTAGAGTTATGATGAATTGATAATGAGTACGAACAATCAAGTGACTCATTTAGATGGTTTGCCCATGGGAACTCATAGGACGGTTAGTATTTTGTAATGTGTTTGTCTACTGATGTGTTAGGATCTCTTAATTTGTTGGTTGTGTTTTATTAGTTATTGTCTTTACCATTATCTATTAGGCAATAGCTTTGACAATGTCGAAGAACAAATGAGACTAGCTCTGCAAAAATCCATTTTTTGAGTTAACCCGCGAGCCAGCTCTTGAGCCAACCCGCAAGCATTTTTTCGAGCTAAACCGTGATCCATTTTTTTGAGCCAGCTCGCGAGTTTTTTTTGAGCAACCCGTGAGCCAACCTAACCCGGGTCGGGTCGGGTTGGGTTGGGATGAATTTTCTGGCTCTTTTTTTTTTATCCAAGCCGAACCCGGCTTGATTTTTTCGGTCAAATTCGGGTTGGGCCGGGTTGGCTCGTTTTTTCAACCCTAGTTGGAATACATATTGCACAGAAGCTTGTTTATATGTGTACCTCTTTAGTGTGAGTGAGAAGTAGAGGGAAATGTTTGAAAAAGACACACTCCATCCACCCTCATCGTCATCACTATACAAACGAATGAAAAGTGACAGTATATATATATATATATATATATATATATATATATATATATATATATATATATCTTAAGTCAATTGAAATATATTTATCTCCGGTTATCTCAAAACAATGTTATTTTATTTATTTATTTTCTTATATTTATTGATTCACCTTTGAATGATTATGATTCACTTTTTCTCTCTCTTCCTTTATCACCATTGATACATTTTTGTATGGTTATAATTTAGTGGTCGGAGATAAAGTTATTTTAAGTAACTTGAGAAATGATAAGCCATATATATATATATATATATATATATATATATATATATATATATATAACTTTAAATGTATGTGAGTAGCATTTTGATAACAAGAGAGTATGGAAATTAGTCACGACAAGAGAAAATATAGAGAACCATTTCAAAAAATAGGCTAATTTAAGAAAGAAAGGAGCAGTCTTTGATCATTATTCGATATCTCCCTCATCTACCGTCCGATCGAGCTAAGATTTTGTTGACATATTCCTGACTCGCCATTCTTCATATCCAACAGTGGCTTTTTTGGTTGGATGTCTATAGCATCATCAGAAATTTCAAACCGAAGTGGTTTATGTGTAGGATTCTAATATAGGCAGTGATCTATTGAGAAGGTTTTCTCAAATTCACAGTTGGATCGTGCTGAAAAACTATAAGCAAGGGTTACACTCATTATACTTCATATGTAACGGTCAATTTTTCGATTGGAGCTTGCAAGAGGGATTCATGCAATTGCAAACAGAGGATGTCAACATTGCTACTCTGTTTCGGGTAGTGAGGTTCAAAGGAGATATATGTCTTTGCTCGTCCGTTGGATTGTTCTCACTATCCCTACTACGGAGCATATGATAGATACTCTGATTTATTAACCTTGCAGAATTTTAAAAATTAGAAATTTAAATAAGTAGCCAAATATTTGCAGGGAAAATTTAAAATACCTCACAAAATCGTTCACGAATGCAAGAGATTTCACATTCTCCTTGCAAATGTGTGCCTAATTTTTAAAATTTTAAATTTTGAAAATTGTCGAAATCATTAAAATCGTTCATAATTATGAGAGATTTTATATTTACCACACAAAATCATTTACAATTGCGAGAAATTTTACTTATCTAAATTTCATATTTTAGAATTTTTCAAAATCATTAAATTGCAAGAAATTTGACTTATTTAAATTTCATATTTTAGAATTTTTCAAAATCATTAAATTGCGAGGGCATTTATATTTACCTCACAAAACCGTTCATTTCCCTCGCAGGTTTCGTGTTAAGCTTTTTCCTTTCACTTTCCTTTTCACTGACTGAAGTTTCACTTTTACCATTTCACTGTCCGTCGTCTTCTTTGATCGTTTGACCCGTTGCCGTCGTCTTCTCTGTTCTGGCCGCCGTGATCTTCTCCCGTTGTTTCACCCATTTCACCTAAAGATTCTCATTTCCAAAGACCCTTGTTCACCCATTTCACCCATTCTCATTTGACCCGTTGCGTCATCATCGACCTTGTGAAAGACCAGCGCGCTGTCCTCTTGCCGCCGATTTGACCTGGACGAAGCTGTTGGGGTTTGGGTTGGATTTTGCTTCAGGTTTGGAATTTTCACGCCCTAACCTTATTTTTCTTCTCTATTTCTCTAACCTACCGAACCCTTTCTCTAATCCTCTGGAGTTTGTCACACAGGCTGCACTCTGCTAAGTACCTATTGAAGGGTTCTCCATCCCACGATTTTTTTAGTCTCCGGGCAAGCCAAGCATTTCAGGGAAGAGGACCTTTCGTCCATGTTCAAGCATAAGGATGCCACTGAATGGTAATGTTCTATGTCTTGAGTATGATTTTTCTTTTTCTTTTTCTTTTTTGGTTGTCTTTATTGTTGGTTGCAATCCTGCTTCTTTCTCTTTTTTTTTTTTTTGTATAACAAGGAAACTAAAACAAAATTACATATGGCCATTCTAGGCCAAGCTATACCCCTATGGTCCCTCCCTAGTAAGTCTATACAGCCAGAGGGAGGGCAATCAAAAACATGTGTATCCCACCCAAAACTATAAGCTAGACTAGCAAGATGGTCAGCCACTCCATTCCCCTCCCTGTAAACATGAACTAACTCCACTTGCCAATCATACCCAAGGAACTGATTAATTCTCCTAACCAGACAAGCAAGAGGGTGACCAACTGGGCAACCTTCCATCACAAGTTGCAAAGCAGCCTTGGAATCTCCTTCCATTATCACTCTTCTGAAGCCCTTCTCCCACGCATAGTGCAAGCCTAAGAGCATTCCCCAAATTTCAGCTTTAACAGCATTACCCGCTCCCAGCTTTTTTGTGAAACCCACTATCCAGCAACCGGATTCGTCTCTTAGCACTCCCCCACAACCGCTCTGTCCATGATGACCCTTGGCAGACCCATCAAAATTTACCTTAATCCAGCCATGGGGAGGTGCATTCCATTTAACCATCACTTCAGCCTTAGCTGCCTTCAAAATATCAGCACTCCTATACATCTTGTTTGCCTCCATAAAATTGGAGAAATATATACAGATTCTTCTAGCAGTAGATTCCTCACTAGAAACTTGATTTTCAAAAACCAGCAAGTTTCTATCCTTCCACAGGGACCAGCAAACAATACCAAACAGAATGCAACCCCTTTCCCCACATAAGAACCCCTTTTTCCCAGCCAGATTACACTGTAACCAATCAACAAACGAGAGACTCATGAAATCCAGCCACTTATCAGGTTTAATAAATTTTCTCCAAATATCTTGTGCCTACCTACAGTCCCTTAGGACATGAGCACAATTCTTAGGATATATACAACATCTAGGACAGACATCTGAAGTAGCTATGTGTCTTTGAACTCTTTTTTGATTTGTTAGCAAATTCTCCCCAAGTGCAAGCCAGAGAAAAGTTTTAATTCTAGGAGGACCCTCCCACTCCCAAATTAAATTCCAACTTACCTGGTTTGGTTCAGAAGCTTCCATGTTTAGTCTACAAAAAGCTGACTTAACAGTAAACTTACCATCAGGAGAGCCATCCCAAATCACCATATCATCTCCATTCAATGGGTGATGAGGACAGATTCCTGCTACAGAATTTAGAGCCTCATTCGAAATGAGCCCTTCAAATAGTTGCCAGTTCCAATCCCCATCAGACTTCACCATGTGAGCCACATTAGCATTCCAGATTTCTTCAGGTATATCCTGAATAACATGATCCTTCAAAGGGCCAACAGAGTTCCATTTGTCATGCCAGAAAGAACTGCCAGTACCATTCCCAACCATGATCCTAGAGCCATCCAAAACATGAGGCCAGACCCGAGAGATGCCCTGCCAGAGATTTGAAGAACCAGACTTCTTGATTATCTGAGGAAGTAGTTTATCTTCCACTTTATATTTGTGCCTCAAAACTCTGACCCAGAATTCATCCTTCCTAGTAAGCAAAGCATGAGCCACCTTCATGAGACATGCCTTGTTAGTTTGTCTCAGATTTCTGATACCCAAACCCCTATCACATTTGGGCTTACAAATTGTGCTCCAAGGCAAAGCATGAATTTTCTTAGCTTCTCTACTTGATCCCCATATAAAGCTCCTCATTCTCTGTTCAACCTCATCACAGGTGC